GGCCAAAGCCCTTGCCTCAGTCTCCAAGGCCCAGCAGGCTCCCCAGACACCTCCCCGCATCACCTCCTGGCCCTCACCACTCCATTCCCACCTCACCAGTCTCCCACCTGTTCCTGGATTACTTCAGGCACTCCAGAGCCTTTCCACTGGCTATTCCCTCTGCTGAGAACTTTACAATCCAGAACCCAATCCTAGCATAGCAGCAGAAACTCCTGGCATGGTAAATAACCATGTGGCTCCTGGGAGGAGCTTCCCCAAACCTCTGCTCCCAGCTCACACTTCCAGAAGCCTCCTTCCAACACCCCTTATTGGACAGCACCCCTTTCTCTTCTCATCCCATCATCTAGTCTTCTCTGTAACGACGACTGACACCTGATAAGGATGTCACTGGGATGTCCACTGTTTTGCTGTCTCCCCCACTAGAACATCAGTCCCGGGGAGCAGGGATCCTGGCCTGTCTATTCATCCTGTCTCCCCAGCGCATAGCATAGGCCTAGCACACAGCACGTCTTCACGGTGGGCCGGAGCGCCACCCCACTCACCATGAGGTTGGCGTTGGCAATGTGGTGCTTGACCACACCCCCGCCCAGAATGATCATCCCAGTGCACTTGGCAAAGATGGCCTGCGTATTGATGAGCCTCAGATCTAGAGGAAGAGGGCCGAAGTCAGGCCTTGGGCTCAGCCGGCCTTCCTTCCCCTCCCCTCTGTGGCCCCAGCACCTCACCCTCAACGATGTCCAGGACCAGGCCCGGGTTCTTGTAAGAATGGAAGAAGATCATGTCGCCCAGTGAGCCGTCTGTAAGTGCTGGACTAAACACAGGGATGTGGTTCTGCGGGAAATGATAGGACAGTGGCTGCAGCTCAAAGCCTCGTCCCCATGCCAGCTGCGTCACTTCCCTCCTATCTGATTGTGGGTGGGGTGCTTCATTTCTCTAGGACTGTCACCTCAATTGCAAGATAAGTGTAACAGTAACACCTCTCATAGATGAGGCCTATATGAGAAAACTCACAGACAACACTTAGGATAGTGCCTGGCACATAAAGAACCAGCCTATTCTTAGCTTGCTGGGCTGTTTCTTTTTTTTTTCTGAGATGGAGTTTCACTTTTTTTTTTAAATAGAGACAGGGTTTCTCCATGTTAGTCAGGCTGGTCTCGAACTCCCAACCTCAGGTGATCCTCCCACCTCAGCCTTCCAAAGTGCTGGGATTACAGGTGTGAGCCACCGCACCTGGCCAAGTTTCATTTGTTGCCCAGGCTGGAATACAATGGCGAAATCTCAACTCACTGTAACCTCCGCCTCCAGGGTTCAAGTGATTCTCATACCTCAGCCTTCCAAGTAGCTGGATTACATGCCACCATACCCAGCTAATTTTGTATTTTTTTTTTTTTTTTTTAGTAGAGATGGGATTTTGCCATGTTGGCTAGGCTGGTCTTGAATTCCTGACCTCAGGTGATTTGCCCACCTCAGCCTCCCAAAGTGCTGGGATTACAGGTCTGAGCCCCTGTGCCTGGCCCTCTTTTTTTTTTTTTTTTTTTTTTTTTGAGACGGAGTTTCACTCTTGTTACCCAGACTGGAGTGCAATGGCACAATCTCGGCTCACCGCAACCTCCGCCTCCTGGGTTCAGGCAATTCTCCTGCCTCAGCCTCCCAAGTAGCTGGGATTACAGGCACGCGCCACCATGCCCAGCTAATTTTTTGTATTTTTAGTAGAGTTTCACCATGTTGACCAGGACGGTCTCGATTTTCTTGACCTCATGATCCACCCGCCTCAGTCTCCCAAAGTGCTGGAATTACAGGCTTGAGCCACCGCGCCCGGCCTGGCCCTCTCTTTTTTAAAGAGCCATCCTGGGCAACATGGTAAGACCCCATCTCTACAAAAAAAAATTAGCCAGGCATGGTGGCATGCACCTGTAGTCCCAGCTACTTAGCAGGCTGGGACAGGACAATCGCTTGAGCCCAGAAGCTCACTGCAGTGAGTCATTATTGTGCCAGTGCACTCCAGCCTGGGCAACAGAGTGAGACTCTGTCTCAAAAAAAGAATAGGTAGGCTGGGCGTGGTGGCTCACACCTATAATCCCAGCACATTAGGAGGCCAAGGCCAGCAGATCACCTGAGGTCAGGAGTTCAAGACCAGCCTGGCCAAGATGGTGAAACCATCTGTACAAAAATACAAAAATCAGCCAGGCATGATAGCGGGTGCCTGTAGTTCCAGCTACTCGGGAGGCTGAGGTGAGAGAATCACTTGAACCCAGGAGGCAGAGGTTGCAGTGAGCTGAGATCCTACCACTGCACTCCAGCCTGGGCAACAGAGCAAGACTATATCTCAAAAAAAAAAAAAAGTAGCTTTCTTTTTTTTTTTTTTCAGGTTCTGAAGATCTAATTAAAGGGAGTGGGTAGCTCTTATTTTATAGCCTCTGGGAGTGTTGGACCCTGAGCCAGGCCCCAGGGGAGTTGCTAAGTGCTGCCACTACTGTTCCAGAGATAGTCTGGGAGGAGGATAAGGAGGCTGAGGCCCCACTAGTTATCTGGGTGACTTCAGACAAAATTACCTAGCCAGGCCAGGAATGGTGGGCCATGGCTATAATCCCAGCACTTTAGGAGGCCAAGTGGGAGGACTGCTTGAGGCCAGGAGTTCAAGACCAGCCTGGGCAACATAGGAAGACCCCCATCTCTAAAAAAAAACTTAAAAATTAATTATTTTTTTTTTGAGACGGAGTTTCGCTCTTGTTGCCCAGGCTGGAGTGCAATGGCTCGATCTCGGCTCACCGCAACCTCCGCCTCCTGGGTTCAAACAATTCTCCTGCCTCAGCCTCCCGGGCAGCTGGGACTACAGGCATGTGCCACCATGCCCAGCTAATTTTTTTTTTTTTGTATTTTTAGTAGAGACGGGGTTTCACCATGTTGACCAGGATGGTCTCGATCTCTTGACCTCGTGATCCACCCGCTTCGGCCTCCCAAAGTGCTGAGATTATAGGCGTCAGCCACTGCGCCCGGCCAAAAATTAGTATTTTGGGGCACAGTGGCATATGCTTGTGGTCCCAGCTACTCAAGAGGCTGAGTGGGAGGACTGCTTGAGTCCAGGCACTGCAGCCTGGATGACAGAGCAAGAGCCTGTCTCAAAAAAAAAAAAAAAAATTACCACCCCTATCTGTGTTGGAGTCTCCTCATCGAAGAGTGAGGATGCTAAGAATAACAGTAGTGACTCCCCAGGTGGCTGGAAAGATAAGGTAAGTTAACACAGGCCAAAGTCTGGCTACTTTGCCCCTGCCTATATCCTCACCTTCTGGGCCCAGTAATACACGGACTCTGGGTTGTTGATCTCCTTGCCCAGGCGGGCGATCATCTTTGAAGGCGTCCACTTTACACCCTAGGAAAGGACATGAGCTTCAGCCCACGCCTCCCCTGACTACTGCTGGACTGGCCCCTCCCAGTCACCCTGGCCCCACCTCTGTGTTCTGCTCCAGCACCATCTGGTCCAGAATGGGCATCAGCCAGTCCTCAAACTTGCAGTAATTGTTATTGGGCACCAGCAGGTTTCCGATCCTGAGGACAGGAAGCAGGTGGGCATCAGGCCCCAGGATCCGTGGTCCAGCTCCCCTGCCCACCACCACTCAGGAGTCCCACCTGTTGATCCCATTCTCCCGGAGCTCCTTCCCTCTGAGGCTAAACTCGCCCAAGTAGGTGGGGGCCAGGCACTTGATGAGGTCTTCCTCCACTCCGCCAGCTGTAGTCACCAATACATCCACCTGCAGCCACAAGGCAGTGAAGTTGGCCCAAGAAGGAAGACCCTGCCCTCATTCTGGGCAGGACTTCTAAGCTCGTCCTCGTCCAGTTACTCTTAAAAGAGAGCTCTGCTACAAAACAAAACTTGATTCTATTCCTCTGCTTAAAACGGACCCCTATCTCCCATCTCACTTAAACGATTAATAACTGCATCGCCCATTGACCCAGAGGCCAAGGCCACGGCCCCACCAGGTCCCCACCATGTTGTGCTGCACAAGGTAGCGAATGGTCTCACGGATGCCTGAACTGATGAGGTTGGATGTATATCCCAGGAAAATGGTGCAGCCAGTAAGTGGGCGGCGGCTCTGGGTCAGGTCTGCGTGTTGGTCTTCATCCTGTGACAGCGGTTCCAGCTTCTTCTCAATCTGGGGGTAAGAGCCAAGTCGAGTTAAGCACTGGTCCTAAATTCCAGCCCCAGGACTCCAGGTGGGCTCCAGAAACATTCCACCCCAGGCCCTGCCCATTCAGGGATACAGGACCAGTACTACCAGGAACCAAGGAACACCCCCTGTGCAAACAAACCCTGCCCCTTCCCAGACCAGATCTCAGGACACGCATTCGGGATTTGTCCCCACCCTTTTAAGAACAAGAGGGCTCTCCTTTTCAGATCCCGTCCCTTCCCCGGTGGCAAAAGCAAATCTAAGTTCAAGCCCCGGGGCGCGGAGACTTAGGCTCCTCCTCCCATGTGCCCCCTTAACCTGTTTTGCCCCAGGCTCCGCTCATTCCAGAAAGCTTTAGACCTAGAACCCGGCCGCCCACCAAGAAACCGTTCCTGCCTCCTCAGGCTGTCCTAGGATGTAACTACTAGAGTGCAAAGTCCCCTTCCCAGGACAAAATTCCCGTCCAGTATAGGTCCCGCCTTCTTCGAACTGCTGGGCCGCTCAAATACAAGCCCGCCCCCTTCGAGTACCGCCCTGGTTCTACAAGCCACGCCTCTCCGCGGCCCTGGAAGTCCCGCCCCCGTCCTCACCATGGCATTGACTTGCTGTACAGCGCGCCCGAAGTTGGTTGCTTGGAAGCCGGTGGTGCCGAAGGCCTCCAGCAGTGCGCGGTAATCCACGCCGCGGTTGAAGTCGTAGCCCCGGACCTGGGCGCTTTCGGGCGGCAACGTCGAGCTGTGCTTTAGCACAGCGGCCAGCGCCGCCGCGGGCGCCTCCCCTTCTGAGGAACCTTCCATGCACCTGCAACCGGCTCTCGAGTCACAGATGCCCCTAGGCCGGAGTTACGGCTGTCCAGAAACGCGTTTACCCCGACAGGCACGTCTCCACAAGATCACAGGAAGCCAGGAAAGCGCCTTGGAAGACCGGAAGTTGTTCGATCACGTGACCTTCTTTAGCCCTCCGAACCCAGGTAGCTGCCATCTTTATGCACGTATTCCGTAATACGGAAGCCGCGAGGAGCCTTTATTCCTTTTCACGAGTTCTTGACTTCGTATAAATGAAGATTCTTTTTTTGTTTTCATTTTTTTTATTTCAATTTTTTTTTCTTTTGAGATAGAGTTACGTTCTTGTCTCACAGGCTGGAATGCAGTGGTGCAGTCTCGGCCCACTGCAACCTCCGACTCCCCCGCAGCCTCCGGAGTAGCTGGGACTACAGATGTGCATCACCGTGCCCAGCTACTTTTTTTTTTTCTTTTTGAGACGGAGTCACCCTCTGTCGCCAGCTTCGAGTGCAGTGGCGCGATCTCGGCCCACTGCAACCTCTGCCTCCCGGTTTCAAGCGATTCTCCTGCCTCAGCCTCCCGAATAGCTAGAACTACAAGCACGCGCCACCATGCCCGGCTAATTTTTGTTTTTTTATTAGAGACGGGGTTTCACCATGTTGGCCAGGATGGTCTCCATCTCTTGACCTCATGATCCGCCCGCCTTGGCCTCTCAAAGTGCTGGGATTACAAGCGTGAGCCACCGCGCCCAACAGTGCCCAGCTAATTTTTGTATGGGAATCTATTCTTTTTTTCTCTCTTTTTCCTTTCATTTTCTTTTTCTTTTTTTTTTAACTTAACATTCTTGGAGTTTAGAGGATCGCTTCTTAAGCGTCGCCCATGGACAGGATTTCAGTCACCAGGCGGAGTGAAACACGGTTTCAGCTTTCCTCAGCCTCTCTTGTCTAATGGAATAGTGAGCCTGGTTCGTGCCCTTGCAGGTTTCCAAAGCTTTCACATGCTGCATAACGCTCTGTTCTTCCTTCCCCTATGGCTGCAGCTGTCACCTCCTCTGGGAAGTCTTCCCTGAACTTCCACTGGGTCAGTAGCCTCTTCTGGGACCCACAGCTGACATCTTTCCCTCCAGCAAGACTGTGAGACCCTCGGTATCTCAAAGCACCCTCCTAACAGTGCATACAGTCGAGAGAATTATTCACTTACTCTACAGTTCGTGTAGTATGTTCTATACGGTGGGCCCTGTGCTGGACACTGAGAAATTAGTGGTGAAAGAGACCAAGATGTGGACCCTACTGGAGCCCACAGTCTGATTGGGAAGATGGAATGTTAACTATGTTGAGTGCAATCAGGAGTTTTTTTTTTTTTTTGAGATGGAATCTCACTCTGTCACCCAGGCTGGAGTGCCGTGGCTCAGTCTTGACTCACTGCAGCCTCTGCCTCCTGGGTTCAAGTGATTCTCCTGCCTCACCCTACTGGGAAGCTGGGACTACAGGAACCCGCCACCATGCCAGCTAAGTTTTGTATTTTTAATAGAGATGGGGCTTCACCATGTTGGTCAGGCTGGTCTTGAATTCTTTACCTCATGATCCCCCTGCCTCGGCTTCCCAAAGTGCTAGGATTACAGACGTGAGTCACTGTGCCCAGCTTTTTTTCCTTCTTTTTGAGACGAAGTTTTTTTTTTTTTTTTTGAGACGGAGTTTCGCTCTTGTTACCCAGGCTGGAGTGCAATGGCACGATCTCGGCTCGCCGCAACCTCCACCTCCTGGGTTCAGGCAATTCTCCTGCCTCAGCCTCCTGAGTAGCTGGGATTACAGGCACGCGCCACCATGCCCAGCTAATTTTTTGTATTTTTAATAGAGACAAGGTTTCACCACGTTGACCAGGATGGTCTTGATCTCTTGATCCACCCACCTCGGCCTCCCAAAGTGCTGGGATTACAGGCGTGAGCCACAGCGCCCGGCCCTGAGACGAAGTTTTACTCTTGTTGCCCAGGCTGGAGTGGAGTGCAATGGAGTCAACTTGGCTCACGGCAACCTTCACCTACTGGGTTCAAGTGATTCTCCTGCCTCAGGTGATCTGCCTCCCAAGTAGTTGGGATTACAGGCATGTGCCACCACACCCAGCTAATTTTGTATTTTTAGTAGAGATGGGGTTTCTCCATGTTGGTCAGGCTGGTCTCTAACTCCTGACCTCAGGTCATCTGCCCACCTCAGCCTCCCAAAGTGCTAGTTGAATGGATGGATGACGGATGCCAAGGAGGTGAGATCTGAGCCAAAGCCAGAAGGCTGAGAAAGTCCCTGTATGCGAAGATGAAGGGAGGCCATCCCCTGTACCTGGGAAGACAGAACAACAGAAGCCCTGAGGCTGGAATGGGCCTACCTTGTTGGAGGAGCCAGACATCCTCCTTGACATCCTCACTTGGATCTCAGTTACCCCCTCAGTTCCCTCTCCACCAATCCCTGATCATTCTGCATCTTTTTTTTTTTTTCGAGACAGAGTTTCACTCTTGTTACCCAGGCTGGAGTGCAATGGCACAATCTCGGCTCACCGCAATCTCCACCTCCTGGGTTCAGGCAATTCTCCTGCCTTAGCCTCCTGAGTAGCTGGGATTACAGGCACGCACCACCATGCCCAGCTAATTTTTTGTATTTTGAGTAGAGATGGGGTTTCACCATATTGACCAGGATGGTCTCGATCTCTTGACCTCATGATCCACCCGCCTCAGCCTCCCAAAGTGCTGGGATTACAGGCTTGAGCCACCGCGCCTGGCCTCATTCTGCATCTTAGCAAATGGCCCCACCCTCCACTCATCCACTATACTAAAAAACAGGGAATGGGGCCCATGTGGTGGCTCACACCTGTAATGCAAGTACTTTGGGAGGCTGAGGTGGGCAGATCACCTGAGGTCAGGAGTTAGAGACCAGCCTGGCCAATATGGCAAAACCCTGTCTCTACTAAAAAATGCAAAAATTAGCTGGGGTGGTGGTGAGCACCTGCAATCCCAGCTACTCAGGAGGCTAAGGCAGGAGAATCACTTCAAACCTGCAGGCGGAGGTTGTAGTGAGCCAAGATCACCCCACTGCACCCAGCCTGGGCAACAAAGCGAGGCTCCATCTCAAAACTAAATAAATAAGCTGGGCGTGGTAGATCACACCTGTAATCCCAGTACTTTGGGAGGCCAAGATGGGTGAATCACCTGAGGTCGGGAGTTCAAGACCAGCTCAACCAACATGGAGAAAATCTGTCTCTACTAAAAATACAAAATTAGCTGGGCATGATGGTTCATGCCTGTAATCCCAGCTACTCAGGAGGCTGAGGCAGGAGAATCGCTGGAACCCAGGAGGTGAAGGTTGTGGTGAGCTGAGACCATGCCACTGCACTCCAGCCTGGGCAACAAGAGCGAAACTCTGTCTTAAAGAAATAATAATAAAATTGGAAAGTGGAGCTTGCTGTCTCCCCTTTTCTCATACCACACATACATCCTTCTCAGCATGTCTGCCACCTTCTACCTATAAAGTACATCCGAAATCCAGGCATTTTCTTTAACCCCATAGCCTACAAGCTGGCTTTGGTCTCCTCCAATCCATCTCCCACCTAACAGGAAGATCAGAGAGTTTTTTTTTATTTTTTTATTTGAATGCAGAGTCTCACTGTCACCAGGGCTGGAGCACAGTTGGCGGATTCCGCATCACTGCAGTTTTGACCTCCTGGGGTCAAGTGATCCTCTCACTGCAGCCTCCTCAGTAGCTGGGACCACAGGCATGTGCCACAGCTCTTTAAACATAAATGAATAAATCAAACACATTGTTGTTAAAACCTCCTGATGGTAGCTTCCCTGGGAGTAAATTCCAAGCTTTTCACAGTGGTCTTAAAGAGCACCTCTCAACCTCCTGTCTCTCGCCATGCTGGCCCTCCCTCCCTCTCCCCTCTCCAGTACATGGACCTCTTTTCCTGGAAAAGCTGTTCCTGGAACCCACCAAGCTTTTCTGTCCAAGGAGTCGTGTACTTGCTGCTCCCTCTGCCTAGAACTCCCCATGTTTCAGTTCCTTCTTCTCCTTTGGGCCTAAGTTCAAATGTTCCCTCTCTGAGAGGCCTGCCTGACCACTCCTCTCCCCTTTACTTTGATTTTACTCTTCTTTCATACTCTTTCAGATGTATGAGTACATTGTTTTCTGTTGTCCATCCCTGCCTGACTAGAATGGCAAGTCCGTGATGGCTGGGTTTTGTCTTGTATCATTGCTCATTTTGTTTTTTGCACAGCGTGCTGGGCACATCTTAGAATCTCAGCGGGGGAGGGGCTCAGAGGCTCACACCTATAATCCCTTTGGGAGGCCAAGGGAAGAGGATCGTTTGAGGCTGGGAGTTCAAGACCAGGCTGGACAACATAGAACCATCTATGAAAAGTTAAAAACATAAATTAGCAGGGCATGGTGGCTCACACCTATAATTCTACCTAATCAGGAGGCTGAGGTGAGAGGATCACTTAAGCCCAGGAGTTTGAGGTTACAATGAGCTATGATTGTACCATTGCACTCCAGCCTGGGTGATAGAGCAAGAACCTGGGTTTAAAGAAAGAGGCCAGACATGGTGGCTCACGCCTGTAATCCCAGCACTTTGGGAGTCTGAGGTGGGTAGATCACGAGGTCAGGCGATCGAGGCCATCCTGGCTAACATGGTGAAGCCATCTAAAAATACAAAAATATTAGTTGGATGTTATGGCACATGCCTCTAGTCCCAGCTACTAAGGAGGCTGAGGCAGGAGAATTGCTTGAACTCGGGAGGCGGAAGTTGTGGTGAGCCGAGTTGCGCCACTGCACTCCAGCCTGGGTGACAGAGCAAGACTGTCAAAAAAAAGAATGAAGGCATTGGATTTCTGGGCCTGGGCAGTGGTGAGAGGAGGAGGGGCAGGGTTGCATGTCAGGGGCGGCAGAGGCTACCAAAGCAGATTTGTTAGGGACAGTCAGCAGGAGATCCCGCAGCTTAGGGGGAGGCCAGGGCCTCCTCACTCCCCCAACCAAGGCACCTAGCCCACAGGGACACAGGTGACACGTGACACCAGGGCAGCCACAGGGCTTCCTGGGGCACGGACCCCCTCAGCCGAGGCAGCTGCTGCTGCTGTGGCTGGTGATATTTTACTCTATGAAAGTCCTGGCTTCAAAGTCTCTGCAGGGGTAGCAGAGGGAGAAAGGGGGTCGGAGAGGCCAGGCAGGGTAGGGGAGGGAGCCAGAGCGGGCAGCCACCAGAGGACCCGGCAGCCAGACGTGGCTTCGGAGCCCTTAGCCAAGGTGTGTGGGCCTGACAGGTCCAGGAACAGCCACCCTCATCCCGCAGTCCCCAAGGGATACAGGAGGTGTGGGAACCTCAGGCTCCCTCTAGGGGGCTGAGATTGGGCCTGCTGCCCACAGCCCTGCCCACTTTCCCCAGATGTCCAGCAAGGTGGCCATCAGCAGTGACACTGGACAGGCCCGCCGGGCAGTGGAGCAGCTGCAGATGGAGGCAGGCATCAACCGAGTGAGGTGAGGGTCGGGGCTGGTGCAGGAGGTGGGAAGACGTGGGAACACATGGGCCAGCGCATAGGTGCATGCCCAGGTCTGGCTGACTGGGTTGGTCTGCAGGTGTCCAAGGCAGCTGCCGATCTGCTGCAGTTCTGCATGGAGCAGGCCAAGAGTGCCCTTTCCTTGTGGGCATCCCAGCCACTACCAACCCCTTCAAGGAGAAGCCCTGTGCTATCCTATGAACCCAGGACAACGTCCCCCCTGTGGCCTGAGCAGACCAGGGGGCCTCAATAAACATGAAGTGAATAATTCTCAGGGCATGGCTGGGCCGGGCTGAGATGGCAGACCAGAGGGACTTTGGGCTTGCAGGGGCCAGGCGCACACCTGGCCCAGCCTCCTCCCTGGCCTGCCCCCAGGGTCACAGTCACAGCAGCACACACACACACCCTGGAGCCCCAGTGGAGAGCACATTGTCCCTCTTGCCCTCCCCAGCACCCATGGGAGCCTGAGCAGGTGCCCTCTCCCACCATGCAAACAAATGTCAAGGATTTGAGTCCTAATCTACACGTCATATGTCGCACACACAGAAGTGACATCATAGACACAGGTGCTCACAGTCTTCAGGACTCTGCCTCTTCAAACAAATGCACAGCAGCAGCTGGCAGGCACCCCCTAGCCCAGCCTTGTAATCTCTCCCAGTCACTCCCACACAGGCCTGCAGCCCCCCAAGCCCCAAGCAGGCTCAGGCCAAGCCCCGGCGGGCAAACCACACTCATACTGCAGGTCCAAGCACCAACACGTCAGGTTTATTTCTCTTTCACTCTCACCTGAGAGCGGTACATCCAAATCATAACAAAACCAGGCCCCCCCCTTCCCACAAAAAAAACCAGGGCCCTAGGGTAGGGAGCAGCCCCCTGGGTGGGCCTGAATCCCAACTTCAACCCCGTATGTATAGGGCCCAGACCAGAACCTTCACCCGAATGTGGCCAGGACTCCTTGTGCCCTAGGCCCTGTGGGGGAGACAGGCAGCACCAATGTTGGGGATGGTCCCCCAAGAACAGAGGCCGAGGCCCAGCCACCAGCCGGCAGTATCCACATCCACGTCCACCTGCTCAGGCCTGCAGCCTCCAGACCTCTAGCGACAGGCCCCCAGAGGCAGCCACCACCAGGTTGCCCTCAGCACAGACCTGGGAGGGGACAGGGACATGAGGAGTCAGGGACAGTGGCATTCTGGCCAGCTGGGCAGGGCACGTGGGGCAGGACCTTACCTTGGTGAACCCATTGTCGTGCCTTCGGGTGCAGATGGTCCTTGGCGGGTCTGTGGGCACGTGCACCTGGTGAGGGGCAACGGGCCAAGGTCAAGAGGGGTGCCCCTGGCTGATGGAGGTGGGGAGGGCAGGGGCTGGGCAGGAGCCTCACCCGGAGGGTCTTGTCAGTGGATGCAGTATACAAGGCTCCCAGTGAGTACTGGATCCCAGTGATGTGAGACCTGTGGCCCACGTTGAAGGACTGCGGGAGGAGGTCAGGTGACACTCAGGTGGGCCTCTCCCAACTGCACCCCCCAACACCACCGGGGGCCCAGGGGTAGGAAGGAGGCCTGAAGGGGAGGGATGGGCAGGGGCAGGAGCCCCAGCAGACCCGGACATGCTGGAAGCAGCCGTTGCGGTTGGCGAAGACGTGCAGCAGGCCCTCGTTGTCACCAGTCCAGAGCTGCATGTCCTGGTGGGACATGCAGAGCAGGTAGGAGTCCAGCTGTGAGAGGGACAAGGGACATGGCAGCTCAGGCCAGACTGGGCCTGTGACCATCCCCATCCCTCCAGGCCCCTGGAGAGGGCCCACCTGCAGCCGCTGCAGGACTCTGTTGGCTCGGCGGTCAACCACCACCAGGGTGCGGTCCTCGCTGCCTGAGATGATGTGCTGGTCATCTGCCAGCAGGGCCAACACAGGGCTAGAGTGTAGTCGCTGGCTCTTCAACAGGGCTGGGCCGGCTTCATGGGCAATGGGCCAGGGAGGAGGGAAATCAGAGCCCCTCAAAGGTCCCCCCAGCCCAGGGGAGCATCCTGGGTCTCCATTCTGTCTGGCAAAACCCTTGATCTGCTCATTCCCCCACTCCACAGAGTGACCCATCTCTCCTTTCCTGCCTCAGCTAAATCCAGGCCTCTGCCCATCCCTGTCCCCATCCCATAGCCCTCCTCCAGTCTCAGCTACTGTTCTCAGCACGGAGCTGACCAAGGTGGTCTCAGTCTTGCATCTGCCCTCAGGTTGGCCTGAAACACACCTCTACCCCACAGCCCTGCTCCAGCTCTGCCTGGACAAGGTACACGGGCCCTTCAATTAAACAAAATAAGAATGAATATAGGCCAGGCACAGTGGCTCACACCTGTAATCTCAGTACTTTGGGAGGCTGATATGGGCAGATCACCTGAGCCCAGGAGTTCAAGACCAGCCTGGGCAATGTGGCAAGACCCCGTCTCTATTTGAGAAAAAAAGAAAAATGGCCAGGCGCAGTGGCTCACACCTGTAATCCCTGCACTTCGGGAGGCAGAGGTGGGTGGATGTGAGGCCAGGAGTTCAAGACCAGCCTGGCCAACATAATGAAACCTCATCTCTACTAAAAATACAAAAATTAGCTGGGCATGGTAGTAGGCACCTGTAATCCCAGCTACTTGGGAGGCTGAGGCAGGAGAATTACTTGAACCCCGGAGGCAGAAGCTGCAATGAGCCGAGTTCATGCCACTGCACTCCAGCCTGGGCAACAGGCTAGAGTAAGACTCCATCTCAAAAAAAAAAAAAAGAAAGAAAAGCAAATGAATAAACAAACAACAGAAAACACTTATGTTCCAGGCAGTGTTCCTTCTAGGTGTTTATGTAAATGAATATATTTATATTTTTTTAATTAAATCTTTTTTTGAGATGGATTCTCACTCTGTCGCCCAGGCTGGAGTGCAGTGGTGCGATCTCGGCTCACTGCAACCTCCGCCTCCTGGGTTCAAGCAATTCTCTGCCTCAGCCTCCCAAGTAGCTGGGATTAAAGGCGCCTGCCACCACATCCGGCTAATTTTTGTATTTTTAGTATAGACAGGGTTTCACCATCTTGTCCAGACTTGTCTTGAACTCCTATCTTGTGATCCACCCACCTCGGCCTCACAAAGTGCTGGGATTACAGACGTGAGCCACCGCGCCTGGCCTATTTTTAATTTTTATTTAGAGATGGAGGTCTCACTGTATTGCCCAGTTTGAATTCAAATTCATGGGCTCAAGCAATCCTCCTGCCTCAGCCTCCAGAGTAGCTGGGACTACAGGTAGGTACCACCACGCCCGGCATAGAAAACTTAGTTCATCCACCACTGTTCAACGTCTTCCCCCATTAACGCCAAGGGGCTGGCAGTGGTGCTATTACTGGATTTCACAGATGGAGAAACAGGTTCAAGTTTGTCTGGGGGTCACATAGCTAGGAAGTGGGAGAGCCAGGATTCTAACCCGCACCCGGGGCTGCCCAGGCTCCCTTTGCACCCACTGCCTAAGTTGTCTGTATTGCATCAGCACAGCATGGCCACTCTCTGAGTGGTGAGTATTTGGTTATGTGACTGTCGTCCCAGCCAGGCTGTGAGGCCCAAGTGTCTCCTTCCCAAGCATGACATCTCCCAACCTGGGCCGTAGGACTCCTGGCCCACCTCTGGGGTCGTAGATGGTCACCTTCTTGTCATAGGTGCCGGTCACCAGGATGTCAGGCAGGTAGGAGAGGCACAGCACGGCTGAGTTAGCCCTGGGAATACACAGACCACAGGGCTTGGGCAGTGGCAGGCAGGGTCCTACCCCCCCAGGTCCCCTGCCCAGGCCCCCTCACACTTTATCTCGCCAAACTGCTGCCCATCTGCTGCCATGTCCCAGAGCTTCACTGTGCTGTCCCAGGAGCCGGAGCACACACAATGGTCCTGTGCCGCCAGCGACCACACCCAGCCCTGTGGAAGGGAGCAACAGTCACATACTTGCCACAGCCCATGGGGGTCCCAGACTAGAATCTTTCTGTTTTTGCAGGTAAGGCTCAGAGAGGTCGAGTGACTCACCCAAAGCCACAGAGCTCATCCTCCCCAGTGCCCACTGGGATAGATCCTGCAGTAAGTACAACACCCAACTCTGGCCCCAGGTGATCATCCCCATTGCACAGATGACAAAATCAGGGGTCAGAGGAAGGAAGGAGACAACCAACACAAGAACACAGAGCAAGTTCAAACTGAGTTGAGATTAGTTTGTGTCTGTGGGTCAGCCTGACTTCAGAGTCCAGGACAAGTACACCCGCCCCAGAATCTGTTTTTCTTTTCTTTTCTTTTTTTTGGAGATGGAGTTTCACTCTTGTCACCCAGGCTGGAGTGCAATGGCACAATCTCAGCTCATTGCAACCTCTGCCTTTGGGTTAAAGCAATTCTTATAGCTCAGCCTCCCTAGTAGCTGAGATTACAGGCATGTGCCACCACACCTGGCTAATTTTTGTACTATTAGTAGAGACAGGGTTTCACCATGTTGGCCAGGCTGATCTCAAACTACTGACCTCAGGTGATCCACCCACCTCAGCCTCCCAAAGTGCTGGATTACAGTCGTGAGCCACCGCGCCCAGCCCCAGAAACTCTTTTTTTGAGATGAGCTCTTGCTCTGTCACCCAGGCTTGAGTGCGGTGGTGCAATCACGGCACTGCAGCCTCCACCTCCCAGGCTCAAGTGATCCTTGTACCACAGCTTCCCAAGTAGCTGGGACTCCAGGTGCATGCCATCACGCTCAGCTAATTTTTTGTAGAGTCAGGGTCTCCCCCTGTTGCCCAGGCTGGTCTCTAGCTCCTGGGTTCAAGCAATCCTCCTGCCCCAGCCTCCCAAAGTGTCAGGATTACAGGCATGAACCCCTGTACCCGGGCCCAGTAACATTTCTAAGTTCTGCAGAGACTCAGCACCAGTAGTGGTTTGAAGCCACATGACAAGTGATTAAGAGTATGGCCTCTACTTTGTGACCTGGCAAACCATATCACCTCCCCTCAGTTCATTCATCAGCAAAATGGGCAGAAAACATCTCCTGCCTCAGGAGCTAATACGCACAGAGTGCTGGATGCTGACTTACTGCTCACAGATCCTGCTGAGGAGGGCACTATTATGTATCTCATTTTACAAAAGGGGAATCTGGGCCCCAGAGAGGTTAAGTTTCTCACTCAGGGTCACACAGCCAGGAAGTAGCACAGTGGGGATTTGAACCCAGCAGCCTGGTCCCAAGCCCAAGATCTCAGCCACCAGCCTGACCACCTTAGTGACTGGTGAGGCTGAGGTAGAAGAATCACTTGATCCTGGGAGGCAGAGGTTGCAGTGAGCTGACATGCCACTGCAGTCCAGCCTGGGTGACAGAAAGAGACCCCATCTCAAAAAAAAAAAAAAAAAGAAAAGAAAAAGGCCAGGTACAATGGCTCACACCTGTAAGCCCAGCACTTTGGGAGGCCAAGGCAGGCGGATCACAAGGTCAGGAGTTTGAGACCAGCCTGGTCAATATGGTGAAACCCTGTTTCTACTAAAAATACAAAAATTAGCTGGGCATGGTGGCACGCGTCTATAGTCCCAGCTACTCAGGAGGCTGAGGCAGAAGAATCGCTTGAACCTGGGTGGTGGAGGTTGCAGTGAGCTGAGATTGTGCCACTGCACTCCAGACTATCTCAAAAAAAAAAAAAAAAAAAAAAGCCTGAGTTTAATGCATGTCCACATTAATGCATGTATCTCCTTCATCCTCATCCTAATCACCCACTGGATGGAAGTAGAAACTGAGGCACAGAGAAGTCACACATCTCACCCAAAGTCACACCAAGGATTAAGAATCAGATTCAGATTGATGTGGTCCTGCACCTAAACCTGGGGCCTTAACCAGGATGCCCTACTCAGGACCTCACACCTCCTATCCCTACCTGACCTCTCACCTCGTGGGTACTAAATCGATCGGTGCCCAAGGTCTTGACCAGAACCTGGCTGGGCTCCATCCCCAGCTGCCGCAGGTCCCACAAGTTGACGTTGCGATCTCGGGAGCCCGACAGACAGAGTGCCCCACCCTGGGAAGGGAGCAAGGTGATGCTGTCAGGGCCACCCTGGCCCACCCCTACCTGGCCTCCCACAGACCCCGTCTCACCTGGAGCAGCAGCACTGAGTCAATGGATGAAATGTGCCCGTTGGCCAGGCAGAAGTGCTCAGCCCAGCGCCCATCCTCCGCCCAGCGGGACAGGTGCTGCTCCAGCTCAGTGCAGGCTGCTGGCCAGTCAAAGTTCTTCCCTGTGGGTTACCACGAGTAGGGTCCCCGGTGGGGAGGGACCCGAGCACCCACACCAGCTGGCCACACCCAATCCTGGCTTCCAGGGAGCCCGCCCTACACCAGACTTGGACAGAACCCCATGGGGATCCCTTCTGTCACCCCAAGCAGGTGTAGGCTCTGGCCTTGGAACCACCTGCCTGCCTGCTCATTTTCCAGGCAGGTCTAGGACTCCTCCTCATTCCAGTTTCCAGAAATTGGGAACTGGGGTCTCAGAAGTACCTCTCCAGGCCCCATCCCCCAACCCAAACTCAGAGGACAGCAGTCTCAGCATGTTGAGTTCTGACCTCACCCCCTCAATCCTCAGACTTGGCATAGAAGCTGGGGCCTCATGACAAACCCTTCCTGCCTCAGCCATCTGAACTAGACCAAGGGGGCTGTTTCTCGAACAGTATCTGGAAACTGGGGAGCCTTGTCAAGATGCAGAACGCAAGCCCCAGATGCAGAGATTCAGTGGTATGGACGGGATCCTAGCATTTGTGTTTATTCAGCTTTTTGGGAGAGTCTGACCTGGGGGGCTGGATGGCAACGCCTTGAGAATCACTGATCGCAGAGTGATCCTGATTCCTCTCTAAGGTTGGGTGTTTGATTGCCCTACTTAGATGCCGAATCAAAGCTTCCAGGTTAAGGGTATCAACACCCAACCTGTAATACATCTTGGCTTACAGGTGTTTGATTACCTTAACTCAGAAGCAGAACCAAGGCTTCCAGGTTAAAGATCTCAGCACCCCACCTATAATACATCTTGGCTTAAGGGCCTGAGGATCCAGCTGTGTCAGGAGCAACAATACCTCAGGAGGAACGATATCAATTCAGTTCCCAACTGTCCTTCCCCAGGAACCAATCAACTCAGGGCCAAGAGGAGTGACTGACAAGCCCTGCCTAAGATGCCAGGGTAGACCCAGGGCTTGAGGTCTGGTGTCAGGGATCCCAACCCCAAATCCTAACCTGGTTCAAGGGTTTACAGGGGCTGGGCCTTGAGCCACTGTCTCATCCCTAACTGGGTCAAGGCTCTAGGGCTCAGGAGTTTTGACATCAACAGGTGCTGCCTTAGCTTCTACGCTGGACTCAGAACCTGAGGATCCTTGGGCTCACTTTGAGCCCCAGCACAAACTCCAGAGCCTAAGACTTCAAGGCCCTGTGTCAATCCCCTGTCAAGAGTCAGAGACTCAGTACCACAAGACCCCAAGACTGAGGATATTTGAATCCTGAGTTCAGGGACCTCAGCCCCAGGGTAGGGGTTTTCATAGCCTCAGGATCCCAAGTGCCTGCCTGCCTCGTGGTCCACTCAGAGGTCCTCAAGTGCTTCAGCACCACCAGTAACTGCCTCAGCCTCCAGACTGAGCCACGGCAGCCATGAAGCCTGCTCCAGAGACTGTGTCCAGAACACTCCATGTACCTCTTCCCCGCCCCAAGCCTGACCTGGGCGGGCGCCCCCGGCCCCTGGGTGCACGCACCTTCCACCACTGGGTAGGGCGCGCGTACACGGCGTTGCGCGCGTAGCCTCCAGGTGACATGGTCAAGCACGAGGTTACGCAGAGCGTGGCACACGCGTGACAGGACGTGGAGCACGAGGCGGGCGTCCAGGTAGGAGCAGATCTCAAGCAGCAGCTCCGGGGGAAGGCTCAGAAGGCCCGGCTCACTTACGGTCGAAACCTTGGACGCGGCTCGAGGCTCCGAAGCGCTCGGGGATGAGGCGGGCGTGGACAGCTGCGAGGGGCGCGGGGTCGCCAGCTCGGATTTTGGCGGACTGAGCACGCGGGCCACGTAGGCCTCGGCCTGCGCGTCGGGGTCTGTCTCTGACTCGGGATCCGAGTCATCGTCCCAGCCACGGGAATCGTCGCACGGCCCTAAGGGAAGCTCCATGGCGACCCGGTGAGCGCTGCCGGCCTCGCGTCTTGTCTCCTAGGCAGCGTGAGGGCACTTCCGGCGCTGTCTGATGACGTTTAGGAGTCCACTGGAAGCGAGCGGACGGGGAGCGGCTTCAAAGGAAACATCTGCCAGCTTGCGGGGTCTCCTACGACTGCGTCGGGCTTAGGCTGGAAAATGCAGGTTCCTGTTTCTGCACTTTTTGAACTCTAGCTAAAAACGAAGCTCAAGCCAGGCGGGGTGGCGCGTGCCTGTAGTTCCAGCTACTCAGGAGGGTATGGGGGTAGGATCGCTTGAGTCCAGGAGTTCGAGGGTGCAGTGAGCCATTATCGCTCCACTGTAGTCCAGCCTGCACAACATAGTGAGACCCTATCTCTTTAAGAGACATAAAGTAAACGCTGCTCAATTGAAAGCATCTGTTACATGTGACACTGAGCTCAAAAACGCAAAGCCCCCTTTCCGAGATTAAAGGGTAGCGATTAGAACTCTTGTCTCTTTTCTCAGAGCCAGAAATATGCAGTTACACTGCGGAGGCCTCAGTGAAAGTACCTTTTTATTTATTGAGAAAGGAACTGGGGTGTCAGAACTACCTCTCTAGGCTCCATTCCCCAACCCAAACTTGGATACTGCAGTGTAGTCCTCCAAGTGGAGTGCTCGGCTCATTGCAACCTTTGCCCCTTGGGCCCAAGTGATCCTTCGCCTGGACACCCCAAGTAGCTGGTACTGCAGGAGCGAACCACCACACCCAGCGTTATTTATTTATTTGTTTGTTTACTTATTTTTTGAGATGGTGTCTCGCTCAGGCTCTGTCATCAGGCTGCAGTGCAGTGGCGTGATCTCGGCTTACTGCAATCTCCGTCTCCCGGGTTCAAGCGATTCTCCTACCTTAGCCTCTCGAGTAGCTGGACTATAGGTGTACCACCATTCCTGGCTAATTTTTTGTATTTTAGTAGAGACGGGGTTTCACCATGTTGGCCAGGATGGTCTGGATCTCCTGACCTCGTGATCCGCCCACCTCGGCCTCCCAAAGTGCTAGACTTAGAGGCGTGAGCCACCGCATCCAGCCTAATTTTTGTATTCTTTTTTAAAGACAGGGTTTCACTATGTTGCCCAGGCTGGTCTCTAACTCCTGAGCTCAAGCTATCCGCCCCCCACCCAGTCTCCCAAAGTGCCAGGATTACAGGCGTGACCCACCTCGCCTGGTGGAAAGGTACTTTCAACTAATAAAATCACACTTATTAAAATAGCATGTCTTTATTTACTAAAAGGCTCTTTTGACCCAGGCAGCTAACCAAGCCACATAGATCATCTGAGCAATATTTGTTTCCTCTACTTGGCTCTGTTCAAACATTGTCTTCTCAGTGTACCCTTTCCAAGGCACCCTACTTAAGATTTCGATCACTTCCCCCACTATTCTTTCTGCCTTCCTGTTTTTCTCTATGGGACTTAGCATGGTTCCACTTTTTAGTCTTTCCTCTCACTAGAATGCAGGCCTTATTTGTTGAATGTTTGATGTGTGTCTAATATGTATATTTTTCTTTTTTTTTTTTTCTGAGACCCAGGCTGGAGTGCAATGGCGCAATCTCGGCTCACTGCAACCTCCGCCTCCTGAGTTCAGGCAATTCTCCTGCCTCAGCCTTCCAAGTAGCTGGGATTACAGGCACGCACCACCATGCCCAGCTAATATGTATATTTTTCAATTTTAAAAGGCTAGTCAAGTGAAGCGGTGAGAGTGGAGAAGGAACAAAGAAATCTGTTACTGGTTGTGTTCAATTAGTTGTAAACATCACTGCACTGGGACCAGCCATGTGTCAACATCTTTTAATTTTCCCTGTTGATCTTTGGGCCACACAAAGGTTGCAGTAAGATTTTATTCTGGCCGGGGGCAGTGGTCCACACCTGTAATCCCGGCACTTTGGGAGGCTGAAGCAGGTGGATTGCTTGAGCCCAAGAGTTCAAGAACAGCCTCAGCAACATAGCCTCCCCAACAAAAAATACAAAAATTAGCTGGGTGCAGTGACAAGCACATGTAATTTCAGCTACCTGGGAAGGCTGAGGCAAGAGAATCGCTTGAAACCCAGGTGGGGCAGAGGTTGCAGTGAGCTGAGATGGAGCCATTGCACTCCAGCCTGGGCAAGAGTGAGACTCCGTCTCCAAAAAAGATTTAAAAAAAAAAAGGCCAGAAGCGGTGGCTCGAGCCTGTAATCCCAGCACTTTGGGAGGCCGAGGCGGGTGGATCACGAGGTCAAGAGATCGAGACCATCCTGGTCAACATGGTGAAACCCCATCTCTACTGAAAATACAAAAAATTAGCTGAGCACGGTGGCGCGTGCCTGTAACCCCAGCTACTCAGGAGGCTGAGGCAGGAGAATTGCCTGAACCCAGGAGGCGGAGGTTGTGGTGAGCCGAGATCGAGGTGAGCCGAGATCGTGCCATTGCACTCCAGCCTGGGTAACAAGAGCAAAACTATGTCTCAAAAAAAAAAAAAATTAACCAGCATGGTGGCATGCACCTGTAGTCCCAGGTACTTGGGTAGCTGAAGTGGAGGATTGTTTGACCCAGGGAAGCTGAGGCTGCACTCCAGCCTGGGTGGCAAAGCAAGACCTGGTCTCAAAAAAAGAGATTTTATTCTGAAGATTGTGTTTTTTCCCACAGCTAGAACAACTTCTCATTTGCCTGAGTAATTGTAACTCATATTAATAATTTCCCAGGCCAGGTGCAGTGGCTCACACCTGTAATCCCAGCACTTTGGGAGGCTGAGGTGGGTGGATTATGAGGTCAGGAGTTCAAGACCAGCCTGGCCAACATAGTGAAACCCCATCCTTACTAATAATACAAAAAAAAAAAAAAAAAAATCAGCTGGGTGTGGTGGCAGGCACCTGTAATCCCAGCTACTCGGGAGGCTGAGGTAGAGAACTGCTTGAACCCAGGAGGTGGAGGTTACAGTGAGCTGAAATCACACCACTGCACTCCAGCCTGGGGAACAGAGTGAGACTCCATCTCAAAAAAATAAAAATAAAAATAAATAAATAAATTTCTCTCAGGCCTGGGGCTGGGCTGAGCCTTCTACAAAAATCTTGACCCAGGGTCAGCTGATAAGAGTACGGCAAGGCCTCACCCCTGACCACTCAGTTTACAGCATGGCAGAGGGGCAACTTGTAGCTGGGCTGTGACACTAATGGCTCACGCTTAGTAAGCTGATGTCCCAGAGAATGAGCTGCACATTTCATATATGTCACAAATTTAATCTTCCATCTTTCACATTCATCTGTCTTCCCACTCTCAAGCATCCTGGCCGCCCCCACATTTCTTCACTACCAAAGCCAAGGACACAGGAAGCCACAGACTAAGGGGTTCACAAGAAACTGATCTTTACTCAACAAAGTTCTACACAAGTGGAATCTCACGCCACCTCGGCGCCAATCCCCAGCACAGCACAGTAACAAATGGACAGACCCGGGAGCCCGCAGAGGGAAGAGGGTGAGGAGGGAAAGAGGGACTGTGGCTCAAGGCCAGTCTGGGTCCACAGCCCTGGGTAGGGGAGAAGGTTGAGAAGCTGAAACTTCATTGTGCAAAAAATAACCAAAAATAAATAAAAAAATTAAATAGTTTTTTTTTAAAAAAAAGGAAAGGAAAGTAAGAACCAGGCTCCCCTTCCCTGAAGGCGTTTGGAGGCCCCCATCTTGAGTAGAGAGGGGTTACCAATCCCATCAGACTGCCAGTCCATTCACACACCCCAAGACCCAGCAGAGGACAGCAGAGGATGCTCCAAAAAAACTGGAATTACCAGAAAATTAAAAGGTATTTTTTAAACTTTTTTTTTTTTTTTTTTTTTTTTTTTTTTTTTTTTTTACAAATGGCTTCCAGAGACCTGCTCAAGTTTCATGGGGTGGGCGTGCAGGGACACCCAGCTAATTTATGGAATGTGCACTGAGTGCCCCCTGGAATAGAGGCAGGGCCTGACCCTGACTATGGTTAAGACAGGGCTAGGATGGACGGGGTCTGGGGCCGAGCAGAGATGGATGGAGCAGGCCCCAGGATGTGAAACTCCAGTCAAACCCCAAAACACAAGGGGCCCCCAAAAGTAGAAGGTAGGAAAGGAAAAAAATGGGGAAAAATGCCCAGCTTTCTGGTCAACTGGAAAGTAACTATGCCCCCCTCCCTTTCTAGGGGAGCCCCTCCCACCTTGACCATGTCCCCAGACTATTCAGGAAGGTTTTCTAGAATTGCTGACCCAGTCTAGTAGGATCTGTGGGCTCACTGGGTACTATGATGAGCAGGAAGTCCCAGGGATATGGGGTGGGGAACAGGGGACATACCACCTTTTCCTTCTACCAAGCCTTGGTTTTCCCTCCTGTTGGCAAAGCATAAACCTTTGTCTTCTGTCATCATCAATCAAATGCCCCTGCCCAGGCCCTTGAGTTAAAACTCAGGCCCACAACATGAGAAGGGGGCTTTCAAAAGCATAGAGAAACGGACTGCCCCTGAAGCTGCTTAGAGAGAGGCTGGGGGTAGGTGCCGGTAGCTCTGGCTGCACCCAGCTCTCTTCAGGAAAAAAGTCCCAACCCAGCGTCTTCAAAAGCCACTGACTGGAGCACACAGGAAGGAGAAAGGGTGACCTCCTCTGGCCAGCCCCAGCCACTCCAGTGGTCCCCACCCTGCAAGGTGGGCTAGGACAAGGACGGAGACACACCAGCTGACAAAGCTGGCAGGGAGTGTGTGGAGCGGGTCCCAAGCATGTGCGTGCTGACAGGGCGACCCCCTAAGGTCACCATCCTCCTCCCCCCGCCCCGGGATCCCGCCTGAGGCCCCCCACCCACCCAGCCCTCCCCAGTCACCACCAATTCCGGCAAAACAGCAGAAGCTTCTTAAACTCTAGATGCAGGTTACATGGAAGGCCTTACGGGTTAACTCAGGGGTTCACTAATTCTACTGTCTCCATGCAGTCGGGAAAATGGTGGAGCGGCTGGCCCAGCCTCGCCGGTTATGGCACCCGCACATGCGTGTGGCCACATGTGTCCGTGTGAGTGTACACGTCCCTACAAGGGCCCCCCTCCCGACCTGCTCCTCCCTCACCTCATCCGAAGCTGGACTTGGTCAGCTGTGTAGATTCCTCCCTCCCATGTAGCTGGCCCAAGTGGGCTGCAGGAGATGACCCCATTAGAGCCCAGGGGCCCTTGCCCACCAGAAGTCCCCCCCTCCCCGTGTGTAGGATGAGCATGGTGGCCCCACCCACCTGCCAACAGGGCAGGTGGACAGACGGACGGGGAAGGCATCTGGATTTGAGTCCCACTCACTCCTCCCTAACCCCCCTCAACCAGGGCACAGCAACTTCTGGATGCAGCACGCTCCCCAGTAATCCCTCCGACGACAACGCAGACAGAAACCTGCAGGGGGAGAAGGGAGGTCATGGCCTGGGACCTTTCAGCCCCAAGACAGTGCTGGCCCGCCAGCTGCGGCCTCCTCACCTGGTAGTCTCCATGATCACCTAGACCCCGTAGAAGGCCGCCAGCCTCTCCTTGAGCAGCGGCGGGAATTGCTCGGAGAACTGCTGCCAGTTATCTTCCCCAACTTGGTCTTTGAAGCCGTGGAGAATCTATGGGGAGGGTGGTGGTGAGGGGCAGTCAGGAGTAAAAGAGTGCGCCTCTTCCCCCATCCCCGCAAATCCCATTGTTACCAGAGGGTCTCCTCCCTGACTGCACAGTCAGAGCCTCACCTTATAAAACATGTCCCGAAGGTCATCCTTCGGGCTCACCCAGGAGGCTACAGCGTCGCAGAAGAAAATAAAGTCCTGAAACGTGACGGATCCCAGGTGAGGGGCCGCCCAAGCCCAGCACCCGCACCTGCCCTCAGAGCCCAGCTGCCCCAACCTGCACAACGCCCCCCGGGTTGACACCGATCATCATGCAGATGCCACGGAAGGCTGAGTCCTTCTCTTCGTTGTCCCTGATGTTCCTGAGGGACGTGCACCTGTGAGAAGGTGAGCAGCTAGAGGTCAGAGGGCAGGCCGGGCATGCATCTGTGGAGGTCTGGGTCACTGGGGATCACTGAGTGGGCCTGGGACAGGCATCTATGGGTGGGGTGGGGCAGGGAGCCAGTAGGCAGATGGGGCTGGGAGTGCACAGGTGAGGGAGGGGGTCAGGCTCGACACGCAGACACACACCAAGGCCGGATGAACTGCTGCAGCATGGGTGCCACCTCCTGGGGGCACACGTAGCCCAAGCGGCCGATGGTAATGGCTGGA